AAATGAAAACATGATCTGAAACTCACTTTCGAAAGGATTTAAAAGACATTAACTCTTGTCAGATGGAAAAGATTATATCTAAAATCAAACAAGTTAAGGCGAGCAAAATAACCAAAACCCTAAAACTGGAAACCATGAATTTCACCAACTCAAAAGATATAATAGGTTTGAAGCAAGGTACCCATTACTGGAAATTGGACGGAAACCTAGAAATTTCCAAATTCAGAAGAAGAAAGAAAGGTACCGCATCCCAACCAAGCCCAAGAAATATAAGAATCTTGAAAATTCGAAACAAGAATTTTATCTTTTATATTTTCGAAGAGAGAAGAAGAGTGAGAGAATGGCGTAAACCTGGAGTTGCTCCACCGGGAAAGGGCCGTGTTGGATTTCCTCAAGATCATCTTGTCGTCGTTCTTGCACATCTTTATGCTGGTTCCTGTGCTGCTGCTCCATTCTTGCTCGAAGTCGCAAGAACGGCGGGTTTCTTTCGCAGTAGCAATACCCAAATGATCCGGGTTTCTTTCGCAGTAGCAATACCCAAATGATTTCGCAGTAGCAATCGTCCGAGGCGTCAAATACCCAAATGCAGAAGAACGAGACAATAGAGAGGGTTGAATGCGTCCTAGACAAGCTTCTGAAGCAATTCGGGTATATTTGGGATGTAATGAATCCGATTAGAGAGCAATGTTAGGATAGACGGCCAAAAAGTTAACCCACCTGTTTTTTACCCAAAACTTGATCTAAATCCGACCAGAAAACACTGGGTTTTGTATAAAGCTTTTGATGACCGAATTCGAAATTGACCAAACTCAAAATGACCGGCTAAAAATGGGTCAAATCGAACCCGAACCCGACCTAACCGACCTGGTAAGAATTTTTTAAAATTATACACTTTGTTTACTTGTTTTTAGTTTATAAATTTATATTTTCAGACAAAATTTTAATGATATTGCATAATTATCTTACTTTTTCCAAAACTCAAGCATTTTTAAATTCCTAATATTGATTTATAAATCTAAAAACTACTTTAGAGTTTAAAATAAAACAATTTTATAGATTTAATACTTTTTTTGATATTTTAAATTTATTTAATAGAAAATGTAAATGCTAATGTCAATTTAAAAATTTAAAAAACCAAAGTCATAACCCGTTGGGTTGACCCGAACCCGGTGGCAATGGGTCATAAACATACAGTTCTCAACCCGAACCCAAATTGACCCGAACCTGAAATAACCCGAATTTGAAGTGACCAAACCCAAACCCGACCTGACCGACCGATTTGCAACTCTAGCTAGGGGTACATCAAAGGTGTACCCAATTTGTCCCCCACCCCTTTATCCACCACTCATTTTTATCTACTTTTTATTTATTTAATTTTTTTTAAAGTTCTTGCCCATTTATGTGGTAATGGAGGGGGTGGGGGACAAATGGGGTACATCTTTGGTGTACCACTAGCATTTAATCCGATTAATTTGAAATGAATGAATCCTATTTTAATGGACCCAAGGAATTTAATTTGAATCAATTGAAACTACATACCTATATTATATACTCCCCCCGTCTCCCTAAGATGTTCTCATTTTGACTTTTGGTGGTTTTTAAGAAGAGTTGAAAATATGTGAAAGTTTACCATAATATCCTTAAAGAAAATTGGGTGGAGTGTATTAAATGAGGTGGGTGAGGTGTAATAAATAAAATAAGGGTAGTTGTAGTATTTTAATTGTTAAAAAATGAAATTAGAAGATCTATTGTGGACAAAGAAAAATGACTATTGGGAAGATCTATGGGGGATGGATGGAGTATTTGGATGTACGATATTTTCGAGTAACTGAATACTCATTTTCGAACATAACTGAATTTTATATAAATGAGTATATAGTTACTCGAGAATGAGTATTCAGCTACTCGTAAACGAGTACTTGTTGTTCGAAAATACTATAAAACTCATTGTACGGATATGTATATTGCGACCGAAATTAAATAGGGCAAACAAAGAGAGTCATTCTTTTGGATTGGATTGGAGACTTATATGATGGAAGAAATTGAAACGCGAACAAATTGGAAGGAGTTATTAGAAAATATAAAAAGAAATAGAAAAAAATGCAAGAAATTCAAAGAATATAAAAAAAGTTGAAAACATTAGATGAATTTGAAAAATGTTAGGAATGATAACATAAGAGTGAATTCTTGGAATACTATGTGTTTTTCCAATTAATTTTCAATAAACAATAATTACCTACATGATATTTTATAATTGAGATTTATTTCTTTGGTATCATCTCTAAAAAATGTTCCTCAAAATCACCCCTATTGTCGAGGGACTATCGTTGAAAAAATATCAATTATAAGATATCATGTAAATCTACCTTTATTTTGGCTAAATCCACCTCATCATTTATCCTTTATATCCTTTATCCTTTATATATATATATATATATATATATATATATATATATATATATATATATATATATATATATATATATATCCTCTATTATTATGATTTCTGTTTTGAGAACTAAATCCGCCAAATGGGATTTGTTGTTGCTGCGGCCGGTTGTAGTTGACATAATCAACTTGCTCCATTGCATCCCATGGACATGAAGATTGATCATGTTGTCCACCACAGGATACACACATGAGAACAGGAACATGAGGCGGTGCTCGCGTAGTGTTTTGCACAGCAGAGACTTGAGCAATCTTTTGGATCATGCTCATCATGCTATCGACCTAGCAGCCATGGCTGACATTTAATCAACTTCGTACATGCCTCCAATTTTTGGTTGAGCGGATGGACGGTCAGAGTTCCAGGTGGATCCGTTTGTTGAGATCCGCTCAATGACTTCTTCAGCTTCATCAAGTTCAAGGCTCATGAATGATCCGCCACTACAAGAAAATATCAATTTTGCAACCGAAAAATTGCAACGGACGTATTTCCATAGCAGAATTGCAACGGTTATTTTATTTGCAATGGAATTTTTTTTGCAACAGATTGTTTGCAACGGAAAGTGAAAAAATGCGTTGCAATTATGGCGGGAGGTTGGCGCCATTTTCTGGGAACGTTATGCAACAGATTTTTGCAACGGGTTTTCGTTGCAGAGTATTCGCAACGGATTTCTGCAACAACGTTTTCGTTGCAGATTATTCGCAATAGTTTCGTGCAACCATTTTCTGTTGCAGAGTAATTGCAACATATTTTTAGAACAGAGTTTTCGTTGCAAGTTTTTTGCCACAGATTTCTGCAATGATGTTTCCGGTGCATTTTATTTGCAATGGATTACCATTGTAAAATTTTTGCAACAGGTAGTTGCAACAGAGTGTCCGTAGCAAATTGCTCACTACAGTTTATAAACTTTTTTTATTAAAAATAAGTTATTGAAACTAAAAATATGAAACTAAAAGTAATTTTTAGAAAAATCCTTAAAAAGTAAATGAAACTAAAAAATGAGTTATATGATTTAATTAAAATTAAAATACATTTGACTAGACCAACGTACTTATGTTCACATTTCATAAGATAAGATAGTCACCGTTATGCCACCTAGCTGTTTTGTATATAGAATTGCTATGTAAATTGGTATTTTTGTATATTACCTCCGTCCTAGTGTATTTGTCCAGTTTTACTTTTTTGAGTCAAACTGGACAAACTTTGAACTCCAATTATTCTCAATTTATAATGCATATATATATTAGCATAATGAAATACAATTTTGAAAGTTCTCAATATGATAAATTCAATAAAGTTATTTTTATGTTAAAATACATTACGGTTTTTATTTAATTGAATCTCAAAATTTGTCCAGTTTGACTTCAAACAGTCAAACTCGACAAATACACTAGGACGGAGGGAGTATATTTTATTTATAATAGTGACATTAATTAGTTTTGGCGATTTTATTAATTAGTGCATATCGTCATCTCGTCATAAATCGATTGCTTGTTTTAATTAATTTACGTAATTAATTAGATTATACAAATAATTGAATAAACCTTATAAAAAGGGAATAACCTAGCTAATTAATAAGATGTGTGGAGTTCATGTTTGTTCAACAACTTTAAAAATTTCACGGCGGGGGTCTGGGGGCGGCAGCCCCTGGTAGCGGGATCCAAGGGACAGAGCTCCTAGCTGGGGTTGAATTTTTTTTTGAACGTTGTTGTTTTATGAAAATTCTTTTAATTTTTTTGTTTGTAGTCTAAAATGAAGTCCAAAATGAATTGAGTAAATATATTCAAAATAAGAGGTAATCCTTTTAAAAAAGTAATCATTTTAAAAAAGAATCTAAAAAAAAGTAATCCTTTCAAAAAATAAAAGCAACACTTATATTAAAAAACCTGAATAAAAAAATTGACTCCTTCATCACCTAAAAACCTTCCTCTCCTAAAAATCGGAACACACGCCTTCCTCTTAATCGATTGAGCAACCGCAACTCTTCATCTTCTTCTCTCCCATCTACGTGCCGGCCGACGATTGTCATAGAGTTCTTAAATTAGCTCCAATCAATTCCAATCAAGGTTGAGGTGAGCTATGGGGGGCTCGACAGTGGGGTGGCTGGACTTCGAATGGGCTCGACAGTGGGGGGCTGTGCCGTGATTGGGGTTGGGGGCCTGGGCCATGATTAGGGTTGGGGGGAGGGGCTATCTTTATCTTTTCTTTTAAAATAGGAAAAATTACCCAAAATAATTCCAACTTTACCTGGTCTTTCAAAAATAATCCCACTTTTCACTGTGATGCATAA